CCCCTACAGCCCCCGCAGTGGAGCACTCTAGGTGACAGTGACCAGACCCGAGCCAGCAGTGAAGCCCTCTGAGCACCCTGGGGTGCCCCGGTGGGTCCTGCACAGTGCCCTGGCCTCCAGCTGCTCCGGCACAGCCCAGCACACAAGGCCATGGGCCTGGCGTGTGGCCTTCCCTCCCCGGAAGACCTAGGCTGTGAGTGCCAAGGCCCAGCCCCTCCGAGGGGCCGGGCTGGGGGGCAGGCTAACCGGGGTCGGCATCCACAGGGTCAGGCGCCCAGTCCTCGGGCTCGCCCGAGTCGTCCTCACTGTCCTGGCCAGTCTCCAGGCTCGTGGGGTCGGTCTTGGATAGCTCGACAGCCAGGTCTCCAGTCCCGTCAGAGTCCCCAGTCAGCCCGGCCACGATCTGCCGCACCGTGTCCTCCCGTGTCCTGCCAGGGCACAAGGACACCGCACCATCACCCCATGTGCACGTGGCACACGCGTGGGGCTGCCCGGCTGCCTGTCCAGCCCCGCCTGGTCGGCATCTGGCCCCAGGGTGACCAGACCGCAGGCTGGCCTGCACATCACTGATGGCCAGCGCCATACAAAGGCCTGGCAGACTTGTTTGTGGGGTGGCGGGGCTGATGGACATGGGGGGCAGGCTCTGACCAGGGGGCTGCCTCACCTCAGGTAGCGGCGGACCGGCTCACAGGCCACCTCCAGGATGACCATGGAGGAGTCCAGCACGCGCAGCGCCTTGATGGCGGAGATGTACAGTGTGATGATGTCACACGTGTTCACACCTGCAGCCGGAGGAGCCAGGTGGTTACAGGCACCATGTGCCACACCCTGGACAGCGGCCCCCACGTGCTCACACGGTTCAGCCCGGTCAGGTGCTCACTAGCACGCCCCCACGAACTTGCGCCTGAGGAAACCCTGACAGCCCAGTCAGGGAACCCCCTCCCTCAGGCTCCCAGATGCCTCGCCTAGAGCTAAACAACGACCCCTCCCCACATCAGGCAGTCTCCACTAAGAGCATCAGAGACCACCGCTGGCCCCAAAGTAAACTCAGTTACAGAGAAAGATGAGACAGAGAGCACCCTGCTCCCTGAAAGACCTCAGAAAACAGCTTCATTAGGCCCCAAGGGCTGGGCAGCTTGGGGCCTGGAGGCACCCACGGCTGGGATGTGCAGCACCTGGGTGCAGGAGCCGGGTCTCCAGCGCCGCCTTGAGCGACTCGAGCAGGTGCTGCCTCTGGTTGGTCCTCTCCAGGCAGTACTTGAGGTCCTCAACGGCCGGCCGTGAGTCCGGGAAGTCTGTGGGGAGAGGCGCCTCACAGGATACGCACATGCTGAGCACGGCTGAACAGCCTCCCTGGGACTCAGCAGCGATGCCCACACCACGCGTCCACGCCACGACCCCAACCACCCCTAGGCAGATAAGGAGACCCAGGGGAGACGGACGTGGGCCTGCGGGAAGGGCAGCAATGCCTGGAAGGGCGGGGCGGACCTCGGATGATGCTGAAGAGCTCCTCGATGCGCATGCCGGCATAGATGCGGTAGAAGAACCTCTGCACGTGGCAGCGCCAGCGGCGCAGCATGTTGCCGGCCTCCGGGGATGCGGGCCTGGCGGGGCTGTCCTGCAGGAACACCTTGCCGAGCCAGCCAACCACCCTCTCGATCCACTGCGGGACAGGCACGGGCGTGGGCAGAGGCTGGGAGGGCAAGGGCGTCCCAAGCCCCGACTCCAGCCCCTTTATGCACATCAGCCTCCCTGTTCATCTCGACCGACGCTGACGTCACACAAGTGAGATGCTGGTACACACACGTGCTGCACGCACACCTGTGGGTACACGCTCTCAGGACACAGATGTGACCAGCATCCCGTCCTTTACAAACAAAGCAGCGTGGAACAAACTCACTCCTGTGTGTGTATGACTCTGCTGGGAAGCACGCCAGAGATGGGTGGGGGTTACTGCCAGAGAAACAGCCTGAGCGGCCCGGGGCTGCTGCCCGAGTCCTTGCCTCGCTCCAGCACCTAGGGAGTGGCACTTTGTCCCAACTGCACTGCCAGAGCTCACGCCCACTCTTGCCCGCTGCTTGGGGGATCCCCACTTTACCTCCCTCAATTGTGCTAACCTTTGTTCTCAGAAGGAGATGCTCGGGGACAGCAGAGAGAGGACAGGTAAAAAACAAGAAGCTGGGGAGCGGTGCCACGAGGCATGGTCCCAGCTCTCCACCAGCTCTGGGGAAGCCCAGGACCCGTCTGTGGGCAGCGCACTACCATAAGGCCCCCCCCGGGATACGACCCCACCCGGCCGCACAGTCTGCTGTCTCCATCACTCCCCTGGCAGCTCTTGTCCTCCTGCCCCTCCTTCCCTGCCCCACCGCGGGTGCGCAGACCATGCTGGGATGCAGGCTGGCTGCTTGGGGACGCTTGAGCCCACACTTCAGGTGGGGCAGCAAAAAGGAGGTCTGTCCCTCTGAGGTGGGCCTGGCCACACTGCTGCTGGGCCCTGGCACTGCCTCGAACCGTGTGACTCTGCTAAGACCTTGCCCAGCATGTCACGGATGCAACACGGTCAGTGGGGGCCCAAGAATGGCCCCAACTACCCTTGAGGTCCCAGCTCACTCAGTCTCTGTAGACTTCCAAAGGGGGCAGGGCAGGGGGGCAGAGGCAGGGCGGGGGCCCACCTTGTGGAACTCCCGCAGGAAGGAGCGCTCATACTCGCCCCGGCAGCGGTCCTCCATCCTCTCCCGGGTCACCTGGTGCAGCGTGCTCGTCACAGCCTCGGCACTGACCCGTTCCAGCAGACTCAGTCTGTGTCTGAGGACAGGGGAGCACATGCAGTGTGAGAGGGTGCCCCCACCTCGCACGCCCTCCCTGGGGGCAGCTGTGCCAGGGGCTCCGTGGAAAAGCTGCTGGGAGGACAGAGCGCTGGCAAGGCGCGGTTCGGCCTGCCCAGCTGGGCTGATCGGACTGGGGTGGTCGCCACCCCCATGGGAATTGGCGGCAGGGGTCCAAGCCCCATCTCCCCAGCCTGGATCAGAAACAACAGCTGAATCACTGCTACCCGGGGCACGTAAACCCAGGTGCCGCTGTCTGCAACTTTCAGTGTGAACCTTGGTCTACAGAAACAGGTAAACTCACAAGGAGACAAGAAAGAGCATCTTGTGCAACCTTCAACTGGGATGAACCCAGCAGAAGCCCTTCCTGGCCTCCAGGACCCCAGCCAGCAGTGGGGGCACTCCCTGGATCCAGATCCATCTAAGACACCCCTCCCGAAAAACTACATTGCCGCCACTCTGCTCCACGTGACAGACTGTGACGGCACCGGAGGGCCCACGCAGCAGGGCCTGGCTGCAGCAAACAAAAACTCCTCTCCGGAGAATGGGCAGGAAATCTGCCTGACATGCTCACTAGAGAAGAAATGGTGACCTCCTGCTCGTTAGCCACCGTCGCGGCAACCACAATCACAGGCTACATACTCCCGTGAGCCTACAGACAGCACAGCAGAATTCTGGGGAGCCAGGAAGTTTGGAATTGGCACAGGAATCTGCTGCAGACACAAGCCATGTAGGGTCTCAGCGTGGGCAAAGGGCCAACCCCTAGGCTACGGGAAAAGACGAAAGAGACACAGCAATCCAGGCCCAAAAGCTCAAGCTCACCACCCAGGGATCCCAGGGCTCCCTCCCCGTTGGATGCCCCTGGCTATCAGGACAGATGGCAAAGAGCCCTGGCCAGTTCACCAACTCTCTGCAGCCAAACCCAGAGGAGCAACCAGGGAATTGGGAGGCCCCGGGATACGGCCACATGAGAGTACTCACAGGACCTGGCTGAGCTGACTGAACTGCTCCAGGGCCTGGCGGCACCAGCACTGCTGCTTGTCACTGCCACAGCCGGCGCACAGTGGGCTCTGCAGGAGCCGGTAGTACCGGCGGCGGGCATATCGGCTGTCCAACTCCCCCTCCAGTTCTGGGTCAGTGCCCCCTTCCCCCTTTCTCTTACTCTGCATATAGACCCTCAAGAAGCGCCCATAGACGCGTTGGATCATCTCCTGGAAAGTTCTGGGAGTGGAAAAGAACAGGACACCCCGCAACATGGTGTGGACCTTTTCCCGCAGCCCCTGTGCGCCAGTGCCCATCAGCAAGCCCAGGCGAGTCCATTTCTCCAGGAGCTCTAAGCTGTGCAGGTAAGGATCCAGGCGGTTCTCCAGCAAGCCAAAAGCGTCAAGGAGCAGCAGAAGGCACTGGGGCTCATCCGCAGAGTTCTCGCGCTGGGAGATAGCATTCCAGAACTCGGGGGAGATGTTGGCTTGCAGGTCGTTCTGCAGCACCTCCACGAACCACTCCTCCAGGACCGAGTGCAGACCGTGGCTCCGCAGAACCTCCACCGCCGCCCGGAGCTCCTCCTCCTTTGGCGGGACCGCACCGCTGGTCCGAGAGGACGCCTACAATGCAGACAACGTGAGGAGAGGGTAACGCAAAACGGGTGGGGGAGGGAAAAGGCGGGGAAGGGGAGCCGAGGGGAGGCTGCGGAAACCCCGCCGCTCCTCCTCCGCAGCTCACGGATGTAGGGCCGACGCTAGGGAAGGACTTGCAGGGGAGCCGAAAGATGCGGGACCGTGGAGGAAGGCGGGAAGACAGAAGCTGGCGATGGACAGACATGGATGCCCAAACGCATCCAGGGAACCCCGAGTGAGCCCGCCAGTCTCTTCCGGGACTCACCAGCCCCAGCACAGCTGGCGGCACCAGCCCGGTGCTCACGGTGTTCCAGGCCACCAGCAGTTCTTGTCCAGGCGCGGGGTCACAGTCCCCCTTCGCCTCTACCGCTGCTGCCGCCATCGGGGCCCACCAGCTCCCAGATCCGCCCTGCTCAGCGCGGTTCGATGACGCACGCGTGCGCGGTGATGATACGCGGGCTGGACGCGGCGCAGAGCGATAACGCATAAAGAGGCGCGCGGCGATGACGTTATCGGTTGGCGCGCTGTCGAGTTGCATTGCGCAGGCGCAGGGCAGCGCTGTGGTAGCGGCGGTTGGCGTGAGCAGGACCCCGGGGGGCGTCGGCCGCGGCGAGGCGAGTGTCCGGTGACCATGACCCAGCAGGGAGCGGCGCTGCAGAACTACAACAACGAGCTGGTCAAGTGTGAGCACCTTCCCGCGCGGCGCAGCCTGGGCAGTCGTTGTCGTGCCTGAGTCTCCTGCCGGAGCAGGCCTGGGGTGGGGGCTGAGAAACCGACGGGGGCGGGCCGGGCGCTGATGGCGGCGACCGGGTTGTGGAGGACCAGGCAGTAGACGTGCGGACGCGCAGTAGTTGTGCGGCCGTGGGCAAGTTTCGTACTGAGTCCGTGCGGGGTCTGCGGGCTCCAGAATAGGCGTGGCGTTACATTGGGACCCGCCTAGCTCAGCCGCCGTGTGCTTATAAGGCGCGTGGGAGAGCGCTTGGCGACACCAGGTGCCCCGTGTTTGTCTAGTGAGCAGGGTAAATGGCTTGAGCACTCACTATCTCCCAGGCCCAGCGCGGTCGCTCTTGTCCACTAGCTCATTCTATCCCGATGCCCCCTGAGAGGCAGGACTCCGGCCCTGCTTGCAGGGAAGGTGGCCCAGCCAGGACCTCGCTCTCCTTCCTGCCGCCCCAGGCATCGAGGAGTTGTCCCAGAAACGCGAGGAGCTGTGCCGGCAGATCCAGCAGGAGGAGGACGAGAAGCAGCGGCTGCAAAACGAGGTGAGGCAGCTGACAGAGAAGCTGGCCCGTGTCAATGAGAACCTGGCCCGAAAGATCGCCTCTCGAAACGAGTTTGACCGGACCATCGCAGAGACGGAGGCTGCCTACCTCAAGGTGGGGCTCCGGGCAGCTGGGGCCGCAGGCCAGGCGGAGCGCTGGTGTGGGCAAGCCTGAAGCGCCTAGGGGGTTCGGGCCTGGGGACTTCCCTTAGCAGAGGCTTCCCTTCCATTCCCTGGACCCTGGCCCAGCGCAGGGGCATTCAGCTGTGGGAGTGAGGGGCCCCAGCGAGCAGTCTGCGTCTCCAGCACATCTCGTCTGGGCCCACTGAAGAAAGGACGTTGCCTGTGGAAGGCAGCGTGTCCCAGCTCATGTTCTACCATGCTTGTTACTAAGGGTCACTCTGTTCGGAGTGTGAGGGACGGGGGCCCAGCAGAGAACGCAGCACGGGCCAGACCGTGGGAGGGAAGAGGGTCCTGCCTGTCCCCAGGTGCCCCCCAGCTGGGAGCACCAATGACCTGCCTGTGTTTCCCTTACCCCAGATCCTGGAGAGCTCCCAGACTCTGCTTAGTGTCCTGAAGAGAGAAGCTGGGAACCTGACCAAGGCCACGGCTTTGGAGCAGAAGGCCAGCGGGGGCAAAGACAGCTGACAAGGCCATAGGTGGGCCAGGGGCCTGCCCGCCACCCTCTGTGCCCGGCGACTCGGTTCCCAGGAAACCTGTTAATAAAGCGTCTTTGTTCGGCATGGCAGCAGCCGCCTTTTGCGGCTGTCTCTGGTACCGAGAGGCAGCTGCGGTGTTCATCAGCCTTGGATGAGAAGAGCAGCCTACCAGGCGGGGGTCTGGTTCCGTGGTGCTCCTAGCAGGCAGTGTTGGGGGAGGGCTCTCAAGGCCTCCACACCTCCCTAGGCTGCTGGCTCTAGTCTCAGCCCCCAGGACTTCTGCCTCCCTTGTCCCTCCTTGGCCAGCAGGGGCCAGGCAAATGGGGGAGTGGTTGGGCCCTCTTCTGCCTCAGAACCGAGACTTCAGAGCTTGTCCCTAGTGCCTCGTGACTGTGTGAATAAAGGCCTTCTTTGTAAGAATCGTGCTGGCCTGTGCTTGTGTCGGGTACATGGGGCTGCTTGCCACCCCCAGAGCCAGCCCACAAGGCTCTGCCTGGCTCTGGTGGCTCCCCCATGGGGCGGGGGCAGGGAAAAGAGACCTGGAGTGGCTTTCCCTGTGACTGGGAGCCCCGGTCTCAGGGATGCAGAGCAGAGGGTGCCCCTGTGCATCTCCCGAGACCCTTCTCCACCCACCTGCAGATGTTAGCCCCAGACCTTTGCTCCCCCAACGGCCACTTGTCCTATCCCTGTCCAAACCACCACCACCCCCCACCCCTTACTTTCCGCCTAAATCCAGGACACGGCCCTTCTTTCTCTGAGAGCCTTCATCTGCTGGTGCTCTTCTCTGCCATAGCCTAGCCTGGCTTAAGGACAGTCGGCAATGGCTGAGGGTGCACGCCCGCCTCCTCCCAAGCGCTGATCCCTCTGAACACGGGCTGTGTGGCTTCACGCCCTCTCTGCCCGCTTTCCTTCTTCCTTGCACTGCTGGGCCCCACTCTCCATCCCCGGACTTCTCAAAGCCCACCTCCCCTGGCATACCCTCCACCCTGGGGTCAGCACTGCAACAACCCAGGTCCGGCGCTTGGGTGCCTCGGGAAAGCACACCAACAGCACTGCCCTCCCCCCGAAGCCTGGCCCCACTTGTTTGCTCATAGGTTTGACTCCCTAACTAACTCCCCAGGAAGGAAACAGACACTCGGACCCAACACCTGAGTCAGTTCTGCCCAGGGATCTGTGAACAGCCCTGCTCAGCCAACACGTGGCAGCAAGGATATCTGGGTCCCAGCCCAGGCAGGAGCTTCTCCAGTGTGGGTGGCCGGGACCTCGGCTCTCCCACCTTGGCATCCTTGGATTTTTCCTGCCAGCACTAGCGCCCACCCCAGCCACCTGCATCTGCCTGCCTACCTGCCACAGCCGTGGGCTCTCATGGGTTAGGACTTTTCCAAGCCAAACAAGACCAAGATCCCCAGGGCTCTGCCTTGCCCCGGAACCCCCTGGGCCCACACTCAACCCTTGCTCTTCAACCCCTTCCAGGCTCCTTGCCCTTAACATTTCAGGGAACCAGCTCAGGCCACAACATGCAAAGAATTCCCGATCTCAGATGGAAGGCCCAGGGTCCTGCCTCCTAAAGGTGCCAGCTCTGAGTGGGGGTGTCTGCCAATAAGGGTGTTGCACCAGGGGCTCCTAGCACTCACCAAGAGGAGACACAGGGCAGGTGAACAAGGGAGTGGGAGGTGAGGGGAGGACAGCTGGGCCTGTGGAGAAGATGGTGAGAGGCTGGACCATGGGGACCTTGAGTGGGCAGCTCCTACTCACTCTGCCACAGATGCCCATCTATAAGGTCCCTCCCCTCCCCCCAGGTGCTCCATGGAACCCCACCCCCTACACCCCGAGAGCCCAGCAGGGTGGACCACCCAGAGGCTGAGACGGCATTATCCAGTGCTGTTTATTGAGTCCATTCCTCGGGAAAGACTTCTCATTTATCACTCAAGAAGCAAGGCCGGGCTCGGCCATGGGGGGCAGTGCTGGCTGGGCTGGGGGTGGGCCAGGGAACCCCAGCAGTGGAGAGCCCCCCTGACAGTGCAGCTGGGCAGGTCAGGGAGCCAGTGCTTGGCAGGACAGAGGGTAACCTGGGCCAGAGTCTTCTCAGGCCACCACCAGGTCAGACAGGGCCACCATCCAGCAGGACCCCTGGGCCCCCCACCGCTCTCTAGCTTGGAGCCCACCCAAATGGAGTGAGACCCAGACAGACCCAAGGGAAAAACCTGGGAGCCCCAGTGCAGGCCCTGAGCACCTGGCTGCCCTTGTAGGGCAGAAGGAGGTACATTGTGTTGGGGGAGCCTGGCAAGGGGTGGGGGCAGAGTGAGGGCAGGCTCCTGGGAACTGCTGGCCCCATGGCCCACACCAGGGTTCCACCCGTCGTCCTGGAGGATCAGAAATAGAGGGCTGGCTCGCTGCGGAAGTCCGAGAGGTCGTTCTGGCCGGCAGGGGTCAGCTGAGGGAAAGGGGGGCAGCTGAGGCTGCTGGGGCTTGTCCAGGCGTTTGAGACCCCCTCCGACCCTGACCCTTGTGCCCTCCAGCCCCTGCTCACCATGACCTCCTTCCGAAGGGGCTCCACCTCACACGGAGCCGGCTCCACTGTCTGCTCCTGCCACTTGCTGAAGGCCACTGAGTGCTTTGGAGTGTAGCTAGACAGGCCTGCGGGTCGAAGGCACGCCGTGAGGACCCGGGGTCCCAGCACTGCCCTCCCCAGCTGCCGCCCTCCCAGGTGGGCGCTCACCTGAGCTACCATCTGGCAGGCGAGGGCTGTCAGGCCCCACGCTGTTCAGGAAGGTGGCCCGGGGCAGGAAGAGCGAAAAGGGCTTCTCCTCGGCGGCCCCCTCTGAGCCGGACCCCTCGTCCTCCCCCTCCTCCTCTGGCTCCTCGGCCTCCTCCTCCTCCTGCACCAGGGAGCTCTCAGAGGGGTACTCGAACGTGGTCTGCAGGCTCTTGTCATTAAAGGAGATCTTCATCTGCGGGCAGGAGACACCCATCAACCGGGCCCAAGCCAAGGGTCAGGCCTGGTGGGTAACACCCCATCAACCTCAGCAGCCCCAGGGAACAGATCGTGCCCACATCAGGCAGTGTGAGAGAGCTGCGGCTTCTCTGATTTCTTAAGCCAGGGGGGCCCTCATCAGAGACCTCGGAAGGGATGGGTCCTGCTGCCTCCCAATGGCAGACCCAGGCCAATGTGTCCAAACACCTGTGCCCAGGCCCCACCCAACCCCCCACCCCAGTGTCAAGTCCCTCAAGTGAGCCACTGGCCCAGGACCAGACTCCAGCCAGGCCCGGAGACCCAGACCCCCTATTCTCCCCAGAGCTTCAGTGTCTTGTCGGAGGTTCTCCCCAAGTCCATGACCAGAGCCTCACTGGGCGACTGGTGCCCTGAGCTGAGACACCCCCACTCTACCTGCTCACCAGCAGTTCCCAGCTCTGGCCAGCCCTGCCTGCCTCACACCATGTCACAGGGCCAGGACCAGGGTGGACGGAGGTTGTCTCAGGACCCTCTTCCCTGCTCTGTGGGCAGAGCCCCCAGTCATGGGGCCCTGGGGCTGGGCCTAGACGCTCGCAGCCTTGCAACTCAATGGCAGAAGCAAGGTCCAGGTGAAGCTGCACCCTCAGGGGAGCCCCACACCCTCAGAAGACCCCACATTCTCAGGGGAGCCCAACTCTCAGCTCCCAGCAACCCTTGCTGTTGGCTGGGGCCCTGTCCGAGGCCAAGTTCATGTCCAGGCTTGCTAGATACCTGGACGATCCTGCCTGCCCAGCTGAACAGAGCCACCCCTGCCAGGCAAGGGCCTGGCACACCCATGGCCCAAGAGGAGGTGTCGGTGTCAGCCCCAGGAAGGTGGCACCAGACAGAGGTGTGTGTGGCCCCTGGCAGTGCAGAGTGGTGGTCCCACCTCGACAGGCCCCACTGCTGTGGGCCCTTCCTCCCACTACAGCTCTACCCAGGCCGTCCCGCTGGCCCTCGTCCACCCTGCCTGCTACCCCTTCAAAAAAAATTTAAAAAATTTTAAAAAACCTGCTGCTGTGAAGTCCATCCTGACTCATCGCGATCCTATGATTAAAGAACCCCCCCCACAGGGTTTCTGAGAACGTAAATCTTCACGGAAGCTGATTGCCATGTTTCTCCAGAAGAGCAGCTGGTGGGTTCAAACCACACACCTTTCGATTAGCAGCCAAGCGCTTAACCACTGTACCACCAGAGCTCCTGCCCACCTCCTAAGCCCCACAATTCCATACCGAGCAAATTCTCCCTCTCCCACACCTGGCCTCAGAGCCCAAACTGGCTGCTACTTCTGAGGGCCCACGGGGGCAGGGGCTGTGAGACCAACTGGGTCCCCAGGACAGGCGTAAGCACAAGGGCTGGGAACACCAAGGCGTCGGGATCCTAGGCCTGCTATTCCCAGCACCTGGGGGCCTTGTGGGGGCGGGGCTGAGACTGGATCAGGGAGTCCACAGGCAGTCCTGACACCAAGGCCTCATGGCCTGAGGGCTCAGATCCCCCCAAGAGCACCCACCAGGGCTGCTCAGTGGGCCCGCCCTGGGCCGGTGAGTCAGTAATGAATACACTGCCTGCCGGCCCGCCTGCAGCAGATGGGAGCAGCCCCACTGGAGCTCGAAATATTAAACTCCTCATGGGCACAGGACACCACCAGCCAGCTCAAATTCCAACTCCGCCTCTGGAAGGAGCCGAGGCGGGAGCCGCCCCCTCAAGGCAGAGAACCATGGTGGCTGGGGACCCTCCCTGGAGAGCTGGGCTCACCCTGAGGCAGCTTCGGAGCAATGGGCAGCCCAGTGACCTGGCCAGGCCGAGGCAGACACATGCATGCTGGCCAGGAGGGGAGCCACCACCCCGCTGAGCCTGGCGTCCAGAAAGGAGGGCAGGCCGCTCCTCCACCCTCCTGGCCGCTCTCCCCTTTCCCGGCCACACGTGTTTACTCACGTGCACGGACACTCACATGCACACAGCCAAGGCGCCCCCTGCACCCCGGGTTACAGCACCCTCTGGGTCCCCCCAAGCTCCAAAGCCTCCCTGGCACAGCACAGCTCAGGCCCAGAGACGTGCTAGGCAACTCACAGGCCCCACCCCTGGAGCTCCACGCCACTCGGGGCGCTCCAGCCCCTGGCCCCCGATCCTGCAAGTCCACAGAGCCCACTCACTGCTGGCCAGCTCTTTAGCCTCAACCCGACACCCCCTTGGCCTCGGCATCCGCCCTGTACCCCAACGGGAATGGGGTCGCCTGGGCCTCTAGACGGACCTTCTGGGCTTCAGGGACAGACCCTAGGCAGGATGGGGCTGGTGGGCCAGGGTCTTCCCCACCCCTCCCAGGCGCCCCCAGCGAGGACCCCAGGGAGCCCCGACACAGCTGCACGGCCCCCAGAAGCAGAGGCCTCCCGGCCCAGCCCCCAGCGATGGGGACACAGGAAGGGCCCAGTGCCAGGGCCTGAGCCGATTAGCGTGCTGTCAGTCCACATAACTGGTTCCCAGCAGGCAGGCTGAGGGGGCTGGGGACGCAGTGGGCACTCGGCCTGACGCAGCGTGGTCGGGCAGGGGTTGGGGACCGGTCACCCCCAAACTCCAGCCTGTGGGCCTGTGGGGTTCCCAGGCCTCCCTGACCTGGGCTCCCCCAGCTGCCCTCCCTCTGCAAGTGCCAGTCAGTGGGTCACAGAATGCCTCGTGACTCAAGCTGCTACAGCCATCCGTCCCTCGCAGCTGGGAGGCGACAGGCAGGAGGGCGCGGCCAGGGCCTGGCCCTTGCCTGCACCTGCCTGACGGGGACTTTGCCCAAAGTCCTGAGCAGGTGGGTCACGCTGAGCCTCCCAGCCTGCACAGGATGCTTTTGTTCTCCTTCGACCTGCCCTGCTGGGACGCCCAGCTTGAATTACTGCAGGGCGTCCACCCTGCACTCTGGGCAGTGGGGCCGGCCAGCCCTGCCCCTCACCCCCCGTCCCCACTGTGCACAGTGGCCGGCCACCAGCCGACGGCTGCCCTGGGGGCACCACACAGCTGCTTCCTGCCGCTTCCTTGAGGCTGGGTTTTGCCTGGGTCGAACAGTCCCTGCCCCAGGCCAGAGCCCTGGCTGTGGGGACATGGAGCAGAACAGAGCCCAGGCCAGGCTGGGTGTCCCTGGGTTCCAGCAAGACCATGAGGGGGACCTGCAGGAAGAGCCAGAGAAAGGAGGAAGGGAGGGCAGTGAGAGGCGCCTCTGCCAGGGACCATATGTGGCACGACGGGGCTGGGCCGCCCGGCTTTGTGTCTGCAGAGATGGACTATGCCTGGGGGAGCAGGAGCAGGGAGGACGTGGAGCTTGATGCTGCGGGAAAGTGGCGTCACCAGGAAGAGCACATAGGGAGGGGTGGTGCCCAGGGCTGGCAGAGAGGTATACTTGGGAGGTCTGAAGGTCAGAGATGAGGCTGAGGCCAAGCCACCAAGTAGGAGTGGCGGCTACCCTTCGGTAAGGATGTGACGTCCAGGGCGCCCAGAAGCAGGAGTCCAGGAAATGAAAGGATGGAGGAGGGGGAGGGACAGAGGGCAGGTGGGGCCGGGCAGGGGGCATTTCACAGAGAAGGGGGTGTGGCAGCTGACCAACCCTGTGTCGAGAGGTGAGAAGTGACCACCAGACTCATTGACAAAGAGCTGCTGACCCCCCCACTGCTGACAAGAGCAGCCTAGGGCTGGGGCAGTGTGTGCAGCGTGGGGCATGGCTGGACCCGCACAGCCATCAGCCGGAAGCTGGCCGAGAGAGACAGGAGACATAGGGGATCTGTGGGTTCTGCCAACAGATAGCTAAGCGGGGACGTGTGCCCGCCAGGCAGGCCTCCGAGCTCACGGACCGCAGGGAGGATGGCCGGGCGGCGCTCATGAAGGACGGGGTGCCCCCTCGGCATGCTCAGAGCACAGCACAGACGGCCGTCAGTGGGCACAGGCACCTGGCCCACTTGTGCCTCCCACCAGGGACCCTGTGGTCAGCTAGGAAGACATGCCCAAGGTCCCCGTGGGCTCTGAGGCCCCACACTCCAGCCCACCCGTGTCCTCCTGGGCTGGGGGATGGGGAGAAGAAGCAGGACAGAATACCCAGCAAAGGCCAACTCGGGCAGTTCTGGGCGGGGCAGCCTAGGGATTGAAGAAGCACGAGGGAGGGGTCCTGCTGTGTCCTCCACCCTGTGCTGAGCAGTAGCATGGCCCTGGGGGCCTGTGGGCAGGAGGGATGCTCAGGAAGGTGGCTGTGTGCACTGAGCTGGCCCCCCGCAGGCCCACTGTGCCCAAGGCCACGGGGCAGCCCCATCCCCCCAGCAGGCCCACCATGCTCAAGGCCACCGGGCAGCCTCGTCCCCCCAGCAGGCGCTCCTCTCTGCCAGGTGGTGCTTGCCCAGACAGGAAGGCACAGCCAGCAGGCTAAGCTGCCCTGACAGGGCCCAGCTGGGTGTCCATCTGGACACCCAGGCTGTCACAGAGGCAGCGCCAGGCTGGTCTTGTCCCTTCCCTGGCCTGGCCAGGACCTGCTTCTCAGTCTCGGCTCTACCTCCCATCACTTCTGCCCTGCTGGGCCTCAGGCCCCTCTCCACCCTTTGTACCCCAACCAGGCCCCAAGTGGCCCCCACAGCTCTGTCCACAGCCTGGGACAATGGCCCTCAAGTCCCGTAAAGAAGCCAGGTGCAAGGTGGACCGCAGCCCAAGGGTCAGGGCAGGGGCTCTAGAAACAAGGGGCTGAGTCTGAGTCCTACCCAAGAACTAATGGCCTTGGCGAGTCGCTCAGCTTTTCCCAGGCCTCGGTTTCCTTATCTGTGAAACGGGGAGGGTTCTTATCACCTCTACCATCATGGGAAGGGACACCTCTCAGAGCAGCTTGGGTCGAGGGTCAGGGCAGACAAGAGAGTGGGGGCAGCTTGGGAGACAGGTGAGGGGGATGCTGGGGGCCGACGCACTGGGTTAGGGCACAAACACACAGACTCCTCTCCCCAGCCGGCTCAGGACAAAGGGCAGGGCAATGGCGGGGGGCAGAGGCAAGCGCAGGCCCGGCAGGATGGGGACAGTCTCCAGGGGGCAGCACTGTGGGGAGATGGGCATGGATGCCAGGCTGGTCAGATGGGCCGCAGGTGGACACCCTCAGCCAGGAGGGCAGAGGTGGTGCCAAGGCCAGCGGTAGAGGAAGTCAAAGGCGGGAGGAGGGAACGTGTGTCTGGGGACCAGCAGAGCAGGGGCGAGGAGGCTTAGTTCACAGAGGCACCCCCACCTTGTCAGCTCAGGGAAACTGAGGCTGAGGGAGAGGTGGCCTCAGGGGCTGGGATGGGGGTAGCCATGGGCGACACCACGGGCGCCATCTCAATACTGGGGAAGGCCCGGCCCATCTATCAGCCTGCTGCCAGTTGGCGGGGGGAGTTGTGTGAGGCTGGCGTTGGAATTTGCCCCAGGAAAAAACCAGCTGCTGGAATGACCAGGAAGAATCTGAGGAAGTTTTTTTTTGTGCTCAAAGGGTCCCAGGCCACCAGGGAGGGCCAGGGGATGAGCAAGGCTCGTCCAGAGGCCCCTGCGCCTCGGTCTCGGCCCGAGGTGGCTACTCTGTCTGCATGCAGGCCCCCTCCCCAGGACCACCCCGTGCCCAGACAGGCCTGGCACACACTAGGAGCTCTATATACTTTCTTCCAAGGCCAGGTCCCACCAATCTCTGGAGACTGAGAGGGGCACAGGATGGACATCTCCAAGCTAACAGCCAGTGGGAATGGGCCTCACGATGTCACAGGCCCCTGTGCCTTTCCACTGAGATCCTGGCCCCTGCTGCCTGCACATGCTGGAACCCCACACTCCTCAGTCAGAGCCAGTAGGTGCAAGCTGCTTCTCCCATTTGGACCCACAATGAGACAAACCTCACCAGCCCAGGCCCTTCCCAGTATACACCAGACAGGCCACCAAGACTGACCCTCAGCCCTGTGAGATGCAATGGGCCCACTGTCCCCATGTCCAGGGTCATCAGGCCTCCCGGAACGAGTATGGCTACCCAGCCCTGTGCCCCTCTGGCCCCCACAGAAGCCATTCATTGCCTGCCCCCACCACTGACCTTCTTTCTTGAGGATCCAGCCTTGGTGAGGCAGGACTTCTCCAGGGCCAGGTAGCCGCCAATCACCTCAATCTCATGCACGGCGGGGTAGCGCTTCTTTAGCATAGTCCCCAGGGCGACATGGGGCCCCCCGGGGCCGCCTGCCTCCTCCTCCTCCTCACCCTCTCTTGGCCGGGCCTCCCCATTGGCTTGACCAGAGTGTTGCTCCTCCAGGGCCCCCGGCTTCCTCTTGGGCACTACAGTGAAGGTGTTGCCACCACGGTGCTGGAGCCCCGGCGAGTGCTCGGGCGTGGAGGGATGTAGGCAGTACTGGGGAGGTAATTTGGCCGCCTGAGAGGTCTCCTCATCTGAGTCCACCTCATCAATGAAGGTGACCGGAAGCCCTGGTCTCCCAAGCTTCCGGCCTTCTCTGGCCAGGCCAGGAGCCCCGAAGCCCTGGGCAGGCTCAGCTTCGGTGGCAGCCCGCAGAGAGGGGGGCGGCGACAAAGGCCTCTGCCACCTAACCGCCCGGTCAGCAAGGACGGTGGCTGGCTGGGGGCAATCCCCCTCCTCCACTGCCCAGGGTGCTTCGGCCCCCAAGGGGCGCCTGGGACAGGCAGGCACACCATCCACCTCAGGGACCAGCTGAGCTTCGGGCTCCGGGGGCTGGGAGGCCCAGCCCAGCCCCCCCTTTGGCTGCTCCACAGGCTGCCTCCCCCCAGGGGCACGGGCACCGGAGGTCTTTCGCTTGGGGATGAACACGAAGGAGTTTCGAGAGTTCACGCGGAGACGGGCCAGGGCTCGGGCCTGGAGGTCCCCCTCGGGGATGGTCTCCATGTCTGGCTTGGGGGCTGGCCGTATCTCGAAGGAGTCATTGGCGCTGGTGGCCGCCGACACCCACTGGCGCTGGCTGGGAGTGGCACTGGCAGGGCTCGGCTCAGGGAACGTCGGAGGCATGGCTGGAGTGGCACTGGAGGTTCCAGGGCTGGGGGGCGAGTAGAGGGGGGGCTCCACCGACTCCACCTTTGGCTTCCACTCACCAGCGCGCTGGGCGGCGCTGGGGGAGGCTGGCCCCGGCAGGGCGCCTGCGAGGCCGTTGGCAGGGCCGGCCCGGGGCTCCGGGGCCGCGGGCCCGTTGGGGAGTGGGCGCGCACCCACGCCGTGGTGCAGGCCCCGGGGGTGCACGATGAAGGAGTTGCTGCCCGTCTTCTGCAGGAAGTCGCTGCGCCGGGCTCCGCGGCTGGCCCCACCGCCGCGCCACTCTCGCTCGAACCAGGCGGCGCGCTCGCCCACGCGCGGGTCC